AGCGCGAGAACCTGTCTCGGGATTTAAAACAAAGCAAAGCAAAGCAAAGCAAAACAAAAGCAACAACCCACGGAGGTGTGGGGACTTAGCTCAGGGCGAAGGCCCTGGGTTCCAGCCCCAGTACCGACACAGGGAGCGTAGAGAGGACTCCAACCTGCCCTGATTTGCTATCTGGTTCAGAGACAAAACGAGATGGACAGGTCTCAGTACAGTTGGGCTACGCTTTGTTGCTGCTGCTGTTTTCCTCTTTTATTTTCAGTACTGAAGACGGAACCCGGGATCTTGGCCCAGAGCTGTATCACCCACTGTTTCTTTTTTGACTTTGAGATTCTTGTTGGCCAGACTGTGTTCCAACTTTATGTCTTGCTGCTTTAGTCTCTGATTTGTACCTGGCTGAGCTTTTACTGGATGCTCTGTCCTCAGAACCCAGCTAATGCCAGCCTGTGCTGTTTGCTGAGGGGATGACCTAGGGACTTGCAGTCCTAAGTCCTCCATGTCCTGAGATGCAATTCTGGGGTGGCTGGAGCCAGGCGCTTGGAGCGAGGGGCTCACAAGGCGGCACCGTGGACCTGCCAGGTACTGGAATCTCCTTCTTCCCTTCCTTTTTGAGGAGTTGGGATTGAACCCAGGGCCTTTGCACTGAGCTGCGCCTAGGGCCACCTCCCTTTATTTCAGACCGCGTCCCTAACCCTGACCCTAAATCACTAGTTGCCTGGGCTGGTGATTCTCCTGCTCATCCTCCCAGGCGCGGGGTCACAGGCCCAGCTGTTTTTTTCTCCACGTGTACTTGTTTTGTTTGCTTCGTTTTTTTAATTTGTTTGTTTGTTTGGGACAGGATCTCACTAGGTAGTCAAGACTGACCTGGAGCTCACTATGTAGCCCAGGCTGGTCTTGGACTCACAGTGATCCTCCTGCCTCAGCCTCCTGAGTGCTGGGATTACAGGCGTGCGTCACTGCACCCGGCTTTTGCTTGTTCCAGCACATAGTTGTGTTTTCTTTTTCTGTGGATCCCCCAGTTCTCCCGATCAGCTGGAACTGCTGCCACAGCTCTCCCTCTGAGCTGCAGCCTCAGCCCTCTTCGGAACAGAGCCAAGGGCTCCGAGTGTGGGACCCCTGTCCCTGGGGCCTGGCTGAATCGTCCTGCAGCCACTCTGTCCTCTGCCTGGCCTTGGCTGCTGGCCCAGTCACTTCCCCCCCAAAGGTCACGGCGCAGACGCCAGCACAGCTTGTGTCTCCGTGGGCCCAGAACCCCCTTCTCCCGCCCGGGGGGCAGCAGCACCCAGGCCTGTTCCATCAGTGTCCTCAGCTTCACTGTGATTTTCGCGAATCCCTGTGTGCTGCACACCAGGACTGTGTCATCGCCATGGACAGCTGTGGCCATGCTGGCAGTGGGCCTCTCAGGAGCTTCCTCTCCCTGAGCCTCTCCTACTCTCGGCCTCTGCCGTCCACAAGAGTTCACGCTTCCATCCTGGGCACAGGAACTCGACACAGCTGACATGGGTGGGAGCTGTTTCTCCTCCATCACAGCTGCCATCCTGCTGAGTGGGGGGCCCGTCCTCCGAGCTCCGGGAGGGCCCCGCGTGTCGCGGGTCACATGGGGATGTGCCCATGTTCCCTCACCTGCTGTGGCTCCCGGTGCCTCCTGCAGCCTGGTCAACCCATCCGGCCTCCTGGAGAGAACCGTGCCCTCCATCCTCGGCCACTTGACAGCTGGCCTGGTTGACAGGGTCACTCCCTTTCCTCCTCAAACCCTCTTTCCTTACCCCCTGGCCTTGCAGTTTCCTGGTTTATTTATGTATTTATTGGTGGTGTTGTTTTGAGACAGGTCTTGCTATATAGTCCAGGGTGGCTTTCAACTTGCTATGTAGCCCAGGTTGGCCTTGAATTTGTGATGATCCTCCTGCCTCAGCCTCCTGAGTGCTGGGATGACAGGGGTGGGCTACCATGCCTGGCTTTCAATAATATCAGTCCCCAACCTGAGACTGTACCCTGGGCCATAGAAAGGCTTCAGAAGGCCAAGGCACCTGGACGAGTTCATCCAGAGCGCCCCACTGTACCCGAAACTGGCAGTGACAGGATCGCCACCAGGAGGCAGTGTCAGGCTTGCCTCTGTTGGGTGGGGCTTTGGTCTAGAGTTTAGGAAAGGGGCAGGGCAGCTGTGGAACTCTTGCCCACCTTCCCCACTCCTTCTGAGAGGTGGGTTGTGTTTTCTTTATTTCCTTCAGGAGGGAACAGAATTGAGCCAGGCCTGGTGGGGCACACCTGTAGTCTCAGCACTGGAAGGCTGAGGCAGGAGGATCACAATGAGTTTGAGGCCAGAGTGGACTACATACTGAGTTCAAGGCCAGCGTGAACTACACAGCAAGACCTTTTCTCACCCCTCCCAAAAGAAGCTGGGATTTGAACCCTGATCCTTGGGACTCCCCGCGGGCAGCTGCTTCCTCTGTTCCCACCTCCTCTGGCTCCCTCTGCTTCCTCCACTCCTGGCCTGGACCTGAATCTGGGTGGGAGGCTGGGGCTACAGAGCCAGGGTCCTGGGCCTCCCTAGCTGAGCCACCTCCAACCCCTCTCACCCCAGATCAAGCACGCAGAGATGCGTTCTGGGGGGCCTGAGTCCCATCACCTGCCCAGGAAGTTATGCCCCCTAGGGTTCAGGGGGACAGGGCTACCCATGGTTCTCAGCCCAAGGCAGGGCCCTGTCCCCTGTCAGGACCCCAGAGAGCCCCAACTCTCGGAAGCTCCCACCTCAGCCATCCCTCGGCCTGGGACATTGGCCTGATTCCTGTCACCTAAACCCTGGCTCTGATTGACACCTTTTCCATTTTTTCAGTATTTACTTATTTGGGGGACTTTTTGGATGCAGGTCTCAATGTGTAGCCCATGCTGACCTAGAACCTACATCGATCCTCCTGCCTCAGCCTCCTGAGTGCCAGGACTACAGGCAGGCACCCTGAGCTGGGCACTGACAGCTTTCTGAGAGGCCCTGAGCACCGCCCGCTGGGCTCTCTGGCTGCATCACCGCTTGGATTCCTCCTTCACACAGTGCAGCTCCTGCTCAGAACTGCATAGTCCCGAGGTGGCCGAGTGCTCTTCTGGTCTCGGTCTGTGCTCTGCAGGAAGGACGAGGTTCCTGCCGGGACCTGGGGCGGCAGAGCAGCCCAGAACTGTCCTGATGGTGGGACAGTGGTCACCTGCAGGGGGGTAGTGACGGGGTCCCCGGGTCAAGGAGACAGGGACGGGGAGGCCAGGACTGGCGCCTGGGGACAGCCTGGCTTGGCCCCACCTCCGGTCCATTTGTCCCTCACCACCTTGCTGGCCACCTTGAAAGCCAGAGGTGGGGTGACTTCAGTCCCCCCAGCTCTGGTTCCTTTATCAGATAAACGACAGTTTCTACCTGGGGTGTGAACCCCAGGAGCGGTCACGGGGAGACCTCAAAGCAGCTCCAGCAAGCAGGAGAAACCAGACAGCCCACACGTTTTCGGTTTCACAGTCTCTGTAACTTTGGTTTGAAGCCAAGCTAGTCCATTTAGCAAGGCAACCTTGGACAATTACCTAACTTCTCTGAGCTTGTTTCTTTGTTTTTGTTGCTGTTGTTTCTTTCTTTCTTTTTTGGTACCAGGGATAGAACTTGGGTCCCTGAGCTTGCAAGGCAGGCGCCAGAACCACCGAGCTAAATCCCCGACCCATTTCTTATTTTTATTATTTACTTATCGCAGTACTAGGAATTGAACCCAGGGCCTTTCCACTGAGCTACATCCCCAGCTCATTTTTCATTTTGAGACAAGGTCTCACTAAATTGCCCAGGCTGGGCTTGAATTTGAGATCCTCTTGCCTCAGCCTCCCAGAGTACTGGGATCACACATGTGCACCACTATGATGAACCAGTTTTGTTTTTTTTTTTTTCAGATTAACCATACTCATGCCACAGGCTTGAGTTGTGGATCTAAAAGGGAAAAATACTCCAGTGTGATGGCACATGCTGGTAATCCCAGCACTTGGGAGGCTGAGGCAGGAAGATCGCTACAAC